GTCTTTGATCTGTTGAGAAGGGTCTGTTCTACTTCTAGTCTCCTGATAGCTTTTACCATGAACAGCTGTAGTAGAATTTAGTCCAATACTTTTTCTGCAACTATTGACAGGATCATATGGCTTTTTCCTTTCCTCTGTTCGAATGATGAGTTTTGGGGGTGGATCTTCCAATGCTGAACCAACACTGCCATCCCTATAATAAAACCACTTTCTACCTACTGCCAGATCTGATTTGTAATACTTTGTTTTGTTAAAAAAATTTCTATCTATATTCATACCTTTTTCTTTTATTATCTTTATCCAGTTTTAGGATTAGCACAATGTCAATTTCCTAAAATGAGGGGAGAAGTGTTCCTTCTTTTTTCTGCTTTAATTGTTTGATATAATTTATCAGTTAAATGTATATGAGCCTGTTGTTGTCATATAGCTAGGTTTTCAAGCTAGGAATATACTTTCTTTAATAGGTGCTATTCAAATTTTTCATTTCCTCCAGAGCTAATTTCATTAATTTGTCTTCCAAGGTACTTCTTAGAAGTTGTCAAATTTATTTCAAAAAAGATTTCTGTAATCTGCTTTCTATATCCTTTTAAATTCTGTAAAATCTGTGGTAATGTCTCCTAGATCTTGATATTGTAATTTTAAAAATATATAGTTGATATTGTGTAATAGGAAGAAAAGGTGTAAAGGTGCAGGGGAAGTGGGAGGGGTAGGGGAAAGGAAAGAAGGGAAAAGAAAAAATGGAAACAAAGTCTTTGCAAATAGGGAAGAGTGGAGGGAGTGAAGGAAGGGCAGGGGAAGGGGAAAAAGATAAGAACCAAGATACTCACGTAATGGTACAAGATCCCAATGATGTATGTAACTGTATTTTACACCTAAAATGTACCAATAAACTTAATGGGGGGGGGAAGTGCTAAGAACAACAACAACAAAAGTTGTTGAATTTTGTCTCCTATTCCCAAACACATCCATATGTCTTAATATAAAAATGTAGCATGAAAATATAAAATGTATTATAAACCTTTACTTTTTTTTCCTATCCAATTTTCCTAGTCCTTCAGTAGCAGAAGAGGATCTCCGAACACTGTTTTGTAGCACATACGTAAAAACCGTCATGTATGTTACTGAGCTTAATATCTAGAATGTATTATAGAGATATAAATACACTACATACAAATATAAAATGTAAAATGCAAAACTAA